CGTCGTCCTCATCAGCTTCGCCATCACCACCGGTAGTATACATGTAGGTAGCGGGTCGCTTGGAATCGCTATCGGAGTCTCCAGTGTGTGCGGGGCGTAGAGAAGGGTGATCTATGCTAGCACCCTGACTGTGCTGCAGGCTAATAAGCAGGGCAAAGCCCAGGAAGGCAAGAAACATGATTCTCATCTTAATTCGTCGCACGGAGCTGCAGCGGGTTGAGCCATGGGGTCTGGGGTCGAATCGCGTTGTTTTATTTAAAAATACACCGCTGCCACCAATGTAACAGGTAGCCGAGTGGTAGGCGCGGTGACTTCAACAAGAATTAGTTTTATTCTACTTCTTTCATGTACACACCTGAGATATAATTATTAGTGAAAGAAGAAGCGGGAAAATAAATAACTTTCTCTCCGATGCTCACCTAGAGGTTGATTTCTTCTTCTTCGAGTTAGCTTTCGTTGCTATCTAATCTAATCTTCATCAAAACAGAAATGCGCAGCCGCTTTTATGCAGCAGACGCCGTACGCTTACATACGGAGATACACTAAATATACATCAGGCAAAGCTCCGTATTAGTTCCGTACTGCTTCCGTATTGGTCGGGCAGGGATACTACACAACGTCTCCTCCATTGCGGATTTCTATTGAGCTTCTTACTCCAACTTGTCCGGTGTCCGATATCGAGGTTGGTTTTCGCGGTCGCGGTTTTATCTTTACGCTATATTATAAGTTTTAGTCTTTCCAACTTGAGCTATTCCCTGTAAAATCCTTGATGAGAAGGGACCGAAAACGTTCGGATACTTTTGACAAGTGCCTTATTATTATTATTATTTATACAAAAGAGAACGACCAAAGAACTACAAGTTACGCTATACTGTCCACTAACACCACCAGTTACTAAACAATCAGCTCAAGCGATAACATTGCACAACACTGACCGACGGTACTGACGTTCTACAACTAACTGGCTAACAGCTCTAGCACATCTTGGATGCGCACTCCAACAGCCTTCCAACTTGGAAGGTTCTAAGTTATAGAAATAACATAAGGAAGGGGAAGGTGAGCGCAACCAAGATAAGCACGAGCTGAAAGTCTCAGCTGTGAAGGACGTTGGAGGATGTTCATGCATGTCGATGACGATACTGACAAGACCATTGGACAATACGGTCAAAACACGATTCCAGAACGCAAACCAACATTCCACACAACTTGTGTGGCTCCAGAGATGCGAAGATCAATAAAAGGGGAAGCTATGCGAACAAAAATCTTGAAAAACCGAACCCTCAGTAGAACAGCACTGTACTTCGACTATGACAATTTAGATGGACAATAAGCAGCGGTAACAAGCAGCAGTTTCACACGACGATCGTTTCGCCGTATAGATAAAGACGGCTCACGAGGTGTGCGGGAATGGACTCAGATGGAGAGCCAAGGTTTAATTTATACAAAAGAGAAAGACCAAAGAACTACAAGTTACGCTATACTGTCCACTAACACCACCAGGTTCTAAACAATCAGCTCATTCGATAACATTGCACGACACTGACCGACGGTACTGACGTTCTACAACTAACTGGCTAACAGCTCTAGCACATCTTGGATGCGCACTCCAACAGCCTTCCAACTTGGAAGGTTCTAAGTTATAGAAATAACATAAGCGCTCACCTTCCCCTCCTTATGTAACTTGTAGTTCTTTGGTCTTTCTCTTTTGTATAAATTAAACCTTGGCTCTCCATCTGAGTCCATTATTATTATTATTATTATTATTTGAAAGTAGGACGGAGGCAGAAAATATTACAAAAAATGTATTATCTACGCATGCATCTACGCAAGAGTCACCACCAGCCAATTAGGACATGTGTCAAAGTATTGAACGTTTTCGTTCCCTTCTTGTCAAAATACTACAGGGAATGATGGAAAAAAGCTAAAAGACTACAACTATAAGGAAAAGAAGTTCAGAAATAATAATACATTATATCACTCCAATTATGGGTAGAAGTGACACGAAAAAATAGATGTGAAGAATCAAGAAAACAGCATGCAAATCCAATAAGTGACAAAAACGTAGTGACAAGAAAAAGAGAGAAATATCAAGAGATCTATTTCGCACCTTTTATTATTATTATTTATTTATAATTATATATTTGAGGATTTCCCAAAGACGTAGTCTAAATTGAAGGGAGTTCCATTATAATGGGAGGCTGTAGGGTTGAGATAGCAGACAGTGGAGGGCTAATAATTCGTAATGAACAGCCTAGCAAGAGAAATACAATTATGCTGAATGTTCCAGAATGGTCCTTTAATCAATGATACCTATAGCCTCGGGATATGCCTTGAAATACGAAATGTACCGAAACAGAAACACAAAAATTAATAAGAATAAGCGCAACGCACAAAGAAGGAGGACAGAGGCATGTCAGTGAGGAGTGGCATTGTGTTTGGTGTCAGAGAAGTGCGTGCAAATGTGACTGTGAAACAGGGACTGCGAGGCTGTGGCTCTCAGGTCTGCGGGCAAGGCATTCCAGACAGTAGCGGTGCGGAAGAGAAATGACCTCCCGGCGTGTTTCCCAACCCGTGGCAGAGTGAATGCGAGTTGGCGGCGGCGACTACGCGTGGGGCAGTATCCCGCTGCTTCAAAAAGTTCTGGTTGGGTGGTGACCAAATGGAAGAATTCCATAAGGCAGGCGATCTTCCTGCGCCAGGATAGACTTGGCCACCCCAGCTGTTTAAACAATGATGACTTGGGCTCGTCTGATGGGCAAGGGCATCTCTCAAGCCGCATGACTGTGCGAGCTACTCTGGCTTGCAGCCGTTCAAGGGTGAGCCGCTGTGCAGCAGAGAGGGAGGACTCCCATACTGGGGCGGCGTATTCTGCTGTGGGGCGGACATACGTAAGGTACAGCTTCCTGACGATGTCTCCTGTTAAACGGTCAGCCATATGGCACAGAAGAACGCAGCGTTGTCTAAACTTGCTTATTGTCTGTTCAATATGCTCCTGGAAGCTAAGTGTTTCACTCAACAACACTCCCAGGTGACGGTGACTGGTTGACGGCTGGATACCGCGGATGGTCTCTGCAGCTCCTTCCTCAGCGAATGAGATAACAACGGTTTTCGATGGGTTGAAGGTTCCGCCTACTCGGTCGGCCCAGGCAAATGTGTCCTGCAGGGCAGTCTCCATTGGGCTGGTACCTTTGGTTCGTGCTTGGCCGACGGCGGTGTCATCCGCGAACAGGTAAACATCAGCGTGCTGGTTGCGTTTCGAGGCACTGGGTAGGCTGTTGATATGTACCAGGAAAAGCAATGGCCCGAGGTGGGAACCCTGGGGTACTCCAGACTTGACGGGACGTGGGGAGGACAGATGGTGTTGGACTCGGACGCTGAATGTACGCGTATCGAGGTAGTTCTTAAACCAACTCGTAGCCGGAGCATCGCAGATAGTCCCGAGTTGCTGGAGAAGCACGTCATGCGGCACTTTATCGAAGGCCTTCGCAAAATCGAGAAATGCAGCATCGTAAGGGATGCGTTTATCCATGGTCGAGGCGATCTTAGTAGTGAGCTGTATCAGCTGGTCAACTGTGGAGCGATCACGGACAAAGCCGAACTGTTCCGGGACAATGATGTTGTTGACCTCGAGATAGTGACCGAATTTGGTGGCGACAATCGTGTCTAGTGCTTTCGCAATAGCTGGGAGTAGGGTTATAGGGCGGTAGTTGGAGGGATCACACGGGTTACCTTTATTTTTAAATATGGGTAGTTTGGAGTTGACAGGAGGGCATGCACATCGAAACCACGCCTTGTCAACGACCCCTTCTTGCTCAGTTTTAACGACCACACTCAGCCAAAGAACAAAACAACAACGAAACACAACGACACACCAACGCTGATGTGGCATCGCAAATCCCGTACCGTGCACGCAGGCACTGGGTTGCAACAGAAAAAAGACGCGCTGCAACTTAGCGTGCCAAGCAGCGAGTGAGTACAGAACGCATACTAATGCCGGCCAGTCATGGCAACGGAAGATAATGGAGATCGACCCGCGCATGGTTCGATCGAGAGCAGAGTACGAAAAAAGCACACATTCAAAGTTCAAACTGTGCAACAGAAGCAGAAGAGGAAAACGAAAATGAACACTTGTCGTGAGGTGAAGTGCTTCTGTCCAAGGGTGCTTGCACCCGACGGGGTGACAGCGCCCCTAGTCAGACAATACAAGGCAAACGAAATAGAAATTAGCTGAGTCACAGCGCGGGACTCCGAAACGAAAACCGGTGAGTATGTAAATATTAATTGTTCGTACCTGCTGTACAACGTAACAATTGCTCAAATTCATAACGTAATTTCAAACTAGCACTCGTAGAATTGTAGTGCGAAAGTGCCACTCGATTATAGTAACAACGACAAAGAGATACTCTTCTAAACATTTCTCTCCCTTCTCACTGTGCCGAAATTCACAGTGACCAAACAATTCGAAATTGATTATTGTTCTGAAATAGGCAAACAAGGAGCTACTCACAGAACAGCTTACAAAGACGCACGATTGGGCGGGTGTAGGTCTTGTCGCCCACCTTGACCTTCACAACTCGCACGTGTCCGTCTGGACCAGGGTGCACTTCGGTGACGCGACCCATGGGCCAAGTGCCCCGTGGGTTGTCTTGGGATGTCACAAGAACGATGTCGTCGACCTTGAGGTCTGTCTCGGCCGTCCTCCACTTGAGTCGCCGGTTCAGCTCTGGCACGACTTCCTGCATCCATCTCCGCCAAAAGTGCAGCACGAGTTCTTGCACTACACGCCAGCGTTGCCGAGGGTTGAACTCGCTCTCGTCCACTCCTGCAGGTGCGAACCGAGTACCGATTTGGCCAAACATGAAATGATTGGGCGTTAGTGGAGTTGGGTCACGACCATCTGCCGACGCGTAGGACAGTGGCCGTGAGTTCATGAGCGCCTCCGCGCTGACGATAGCAGACAATAGCTCCTCGTCTGTGACCTCCGCGTTCTTCAGAATCGCCTAGATAGCACGCTTTGCCGATTTCACTAACGCCTCATGCACTCCGCCGAAATGTGGTGCTGCTGGAGGGTTGAAACGCCAGCTAGTCTGCTGATCCGCTGTCTGACGCTGAATCGCCTCTGCATCAAGCTGCTTGACTAGCTGAGCAAGCTCATTGGTGGCGCCGACGAAATTCGTGCCATTGTCGGAGATGACGTCGATCGGTACTCCCCGTCGATTGGTGAAGCGTACGTACGCCTGCAGGAACGAGTCCGTTGTCAACGCGTATGACAGCTCGAGATGCACTGCTCTCGTCTGCAAGCAGGTGAACAAGCACAGGTACCGCTTGTGTTGTGTCTTGCCGCGACCCTGCTTCGTCATAAACGGTCCAGCGTAGTCTACGGAGACTCGGCCGAATGCGCGTAGCGGCAGGCTGACTCGGACCTTAGGTAGTGGCGCCATCACCTGCATTGCCGGCTTTGTACGGTTCCGGGCGCACCTCGCACACTTGGCTTCCCAAGCTCGCACCTCTTCGCGGCCAGCGACGATCCAGTAGCGCGACGAGAGTTCGGCTAGCGTATGGCTGACACCGAACGCGTGATATCCTCGTTCGTGACATGCCTTGACAATCAGCTGTGTCACATGATCCCCTCGTGGTAGGACGATCGGATTGCGTTGTTCTGCAGTCAAGAAGTCTGCATGCTGTAGTCGACCTCCGACGCGTAGAAGGCCAGCGTCGTCAATCATTGGCTTGAGCGAGACCAGCTTGCTGGTTGCAGGGATCGGCTTGCCTGCCTTAACTGCAGCATACTCTGGTAGCGACTGTTGCTGCGCTCGCTTGATGAAGAACTCCTCAGAGTCTCGGATCGCTGGTGGCGATAATTCGTCAAACTCTCGTTGTGCGGGTGGTACTGAGCAATTCGTAGCGAATCGCACACACCAAGCATGAACACGGCACATTCGTACCCAGTCGGAGTAGCGGCTTGGCTCTAGACGATTCAGCTCGCTGTGGCATTGGTCGACGGTCACCGCAGTCAGCTCGATGGACTCGTCCGTCGGTTGATTGTCTTTCTTCAACTCCAGAGTTGACGGACGGGGCTTCAATTCTGGCTGAACAGGCCATTCACTTTCAGCGGCACCCAAGAAGCCGGGACCGTTCCACCATAAACTGCTTCCCGCCAACTCTTGCACTGACATTCCTCGAGAGACCAGGTCGGCTGGATTGAGCGCGGTGGGCACGTACCGCCACTGGGTAGGATTGGTTTGCCGTTGAATCTCGCCCACTCGACTAGCCACAAACTGCTTGAAGGTGCGGCTGTAGTTGGTGATCCAGTGCAGAACGTTGCTGCTGTCCGACCATAGCGTCGTTGCTCGGGGGTCGAGGTTCAGTGACTCGGCGGATGATGTGGCGAGCGTTGCTCCGGTTGTCGCCGCCATTAGCTCAAGCCGCGGAACGCTGACAGCAGTCACTGGTGCCACACGGACCTTGCTTGCGACGAACCGTGCTGTCGGTTCTCCAGTGTCATAGTGACTGACCAGATACGCGACTGCTCCGTATGCGACCTCGGACGCATCTGAGAACACGTGAAGCTGGCTGCTGATTGCTGTGCGTCCCGTGGCCGTCAGGCAGCGTGGTACACGTACTGTTGATAGCTCCGTCACCTGCTCAAGCCAGCCGAGAACCTTCTTGACGATTGCTGGGGGCAGTTGCTCATCCCATGCTGCTCCACAAGGCCACATCTCTTGCAGCAGGACCTTTGCTTGCACGAGGTACGGTGCGAGGAGTCCAAGTGGATCAAACAAACTTGCTGTTGCACTGAGAAATGCACGCTTCGTAGGATTTTAGCCGATCTCCGACAGCTGCAGCTGGAACGTGAACTGGTCCTCCTTGGCAAGCCAGAGGACTCCCAGTGTCTTGACATTCGGCAGCTCTCCCTTCGTGAGGTTGATCTCCTCAGCGCGATCCTCCTCCGGGATGGTCTGCAACACCGCCGTGGAGTTGCTCAGCCATTTTCGCGGGTGCATACTGGCTTTGTGCCACAACGCCGACAGCTGCCTTACGAGCTCAACGCCTTCCTCATCGCTTCGAACAGAGTCCATGGAGTCATCCATGTACGTTGACTCAAGGACCGTTTCCGCTGCACGAGGATAGGTGTCGGCGTGCTGATGAGCATTGTGTCTAGCCGCGTACTGCGCTAGGAAAGGCGACGAGTTCACACCGAAGACCACTCGATTGAACTCGTATGTGGCCGGTTCCTGCTCGTTATCCCGCCAAAGAAAGCGATGGAAGGGCCTGTCCTCCGGAGCCAGGGATATCTGGAGATACATCTCCTGGATGTCGCAGATGATGGCGACCTTGTTCTGCCGGAAGCGCAGGAGTACCTTCGGTAGCGATTGCTGCAGCTTGGGACCAGCACTGATAACATCGTTCAGCGCTACACCATTGCTGATGCCAGCTGCGTCGAAAACCACACGTGTCTTCGTGGTGGCCTTATCTTCACGGATGATGGCGAAGTGTGGAAGGTACCATTCGTTTACAGAACCTCCACACTCGTTGTCAGGCACTCGTCGAATGTACCCGTTGGCTAGGTACTTGCGGATGACATCGCTGTACGCTGTTGCTGCTGCTGAGTCACGTCGCAGCCGCTTCTCCAAGCTGTGCAGACGGCCGAGTGCCTTCGCTCGGCTTTCAGGCATGACTGGACGTTCGGATTTCCAGGGTATGCCAACGCAGTAGCGGCCGTCCGTCACCTTCAACGACGCTGCAACTTTCTGCTCTGCCACCTTGTCGTCGCGTGACATGAATTTCGTAGTGCTGCTGTTCACTTCTACGATTTCCCACAGGCGCTTCAAGCTGCTCTGTAGGTCACCGTCGCTGAACATTGTGAAGCAGCAGCTCGCCGCTGAGTGTGCTGGTTGTACTTGGCCGATGCAGGTCCAACCTAATGCCGTCCGACGCGCCACGGGCTCATGGCTGTTACCCGAGCGCTCTTCATACGCCATGTGAAGCTCCGGATAGTCGGCACCGATAAGCACGTCAATGTGGCGTTTCGACGGTAGCGGCGGAAACTCAACGTTGGCTAGATGTGCGTACTGCTTTCCCAGGTGGTGCCAGTCTACAACTTCCATGTTGCCTGTTGGCTGCTCGATTGTGCACGCATGGAGAGTCGTCGACGTGGCTCCGTCAACACTTCGCAGAGTGCACGATACTGGTACCGTGTGAATGGTCTCTTGCTGTCCATTCAGCTTGCTGATGGTCAGCGACATACTGGATCCAATCAGGCCGAGTTCTGCCGTAACATTGCTCGCTATGTACGAGCGCGTGCTGGCGTCGTCCAGCAGCGCGTTAACAGTTAGCGACCGCTTGCCGTTGGATAGCTGAACGGGAACTGTCCGAATCGACGTCACCGTCCGTACTCTATTCTCCTCTCCCTTCGTGCTGTTTCCGAGGGAGACAGCACTGAAGTTCTCCGGCTGCATGGCTCCAGTCTCTCCGGAGGCGTGGGTTGACGACGCTGGAGGCGGTTGACGGGGCTCACTGTGCAGCAGGCGATGGTGATGCTGCGTGCACCCGTCGATACCGCACTCCCGGTCCCGTGGGCAATCCTTGCCGCTATGTCCAGTCGCAAGGCATCTATAGCATGACTTGCTTCGCTTCGCTGCTGCCCAGCGCTGGCTTACAGTTTGTTTCTCAAACTCTGGGCAGCGCCAGATCGGGTGCTCGCCACCATTGCAGCATTGGCATGTGGACCTTGCGGTGGGCACGTTGCCAGCGGTGTTTGTAGCTGTCACGAACGTGGTCGTGCGCGGTTGCACAGCGTCGTGAGCAGTTGCCGTCCGAGTCGGCTGATTCCGACTTGTCCCGCTGGTTGACAATTGGTTTCTGACGTGATGCTGCTGGCTGATGCCTTCGATAGTTTCCGTGGCGGCAGCAAGAACTTCTGCCTCGGCATTCAGCCACTCCAGCAGCACCTCGACCGATTCGTCCTTTTGGTGGTGTACTATCCAGCGGCGATACTGGGCCAACAAGTTCACCGGCAGCTTCTGCTGGATCCGCTGGTAGAGAATGCCGGTACCTAGCTCGGTGTGCATACCGGCATCCTTTAACGTCACCACTGCCATGTCAAGCACATCGGTAAAGCGCTCCAGGTCCTGGGCTCTACCAGCTCGAATAGGTGGAGATCGTTCCAGCTCTTCCATCCTAACCGCAAGGCGCCGGCGACTCCCACCGAAGCGTCGCTCCAGCCGCCGCAGAGCAGCATCGTATGCTGCTGCCGAGTAGCCAAGACTCTCGATGGCATCCAGTGCCTCACCCGCCACGTACTGTCGGAGCTGCAGCAGCTTGAATTCAGCGGAGAGCGGCTGCTGGTCCACACAAACGCTGAAAGCGGATTTCCAGCGCTCGTATTTTCGCTTCTCTCCGGTGAACACGGCAATTTCGATCCGCTTCAGCTTGCTGGCGATGTTGATCTGTGCAGCTGCCGCTGGAGCAGTCCGTGGCGCAGGTCGAGCTGCGGTGCCTCCGACATATGTCGGAACTGGGGCGAATACTGCGGTCTGGGGTGCTTGCATGCCAGCGCTGGGTCTCGCACCGTACTGTGACGCTCCGGCAGAGATGGTGTGCGACGGTCCAGTAGACACAGGTGAGTTGTACACGACTGCACTATTGCTCGCACTCCACTGCGGTTGCTGTTGTTGTTGTTGGTACATGTATGCCTGCTGCAGCCTAGCACTATTGTTGCCATACGTTGCATACATCATACTAGGTGTTTGATCAGCAGGATCGTGGATCAGGAAGCCTTGTTCCTGATTGATAGCAGGAGCGTTGCTGCCCGTGGTCATAGTTGCAAATGACGCTGGCAGCACTGAACTACGTGGCTGGTACTCTGCGGCTGCTGCAGATAAAGCGGTACATGCATTGCTGTTGATCATATCCGTTTGCGGTGGCGCGTGTGCTGACGCGGTTGCCATGGCAACGGTCGGGAAGGGTTCGGCAGGTTCCCCCACACACTGACCACTGAACATTATGACACGACTGTCCGGCTCTACTTTCACCCGTTCTCCATAGTCTGCAGCCCTGGGCAACATAACCCGCGCATCGTCCTGGCGACCAAGAAACGGTGCATCTTGGAGCGCCGCACGCAGATCTAGAATTTCTCTGCTTTCCTCTCGTACTGACGCCAGTAAAGGCGTTGCCCCTCTCAGTGGCGATTGCTTGGGACTGGGAGTCTGCCTGGTCGACGCTGCCAGGCTCGCTCTGCTGCTCCTGATGAGCACACTCCTGGCCAATTCCATGGCATCGGAATACTGGCCTTCCAGCTGCTTGTACTGCTTCTGGAGACCAGCATGTCTCCTAGAGTCAGTGTCCACCACCGCTTCCATGTATTCCATGATGACCTTCTTGGTCTCGTTATACACTGTCGTCAAGTGGCTTCTCCATGCCTTTACGTCATCTTGGTTCGGCACCTCATTCGTTGACTCCACTGTCAAATTTCTCCTCGTATTTGTGAAATCCGTTTTCAGCTCTCGCTTTTTCCGTGCGAGGTCTTCTAGTTTTACCTCCATGATGGCTCCGTGATAACCATCCTCTGCTACCAATAGTTTGGAGTTGACAGGAGGGCATGCACATCGAAACCACGCCTTGTCAACGACCCCTTCTTGCTCAGTTTTAACGACCACACTCAGCCAAAGAACAAAACAACAACGAAACACAACGACACACCAACGCTGATGTGGCATCGCAAATCCCGTACCGTGCACGCAGGCACTGGGTTGCAACAGAAAAAAGACGCGCTGCAAGCGTGCCAAGCAGCGAGTGAGTACAGAACGCATACTAATGCCGGCCAGTCATGGCAACGGAAGATAATGGAGATCGACCCGCGCATGGTTCGATCGAGAGCAGAGTACGAAAAAAGCACACATTCAAAGTTCAAACTGTGCAACAGAAGCAGAAGAGGAAAACGAAAATGAACACTTGTCGTGAGGTGAAGTGCTTCTGTCCAAGGGTGCTTGCACCCGACGGGGTGACAGCGCCCCTAGTCAGACAATACAAGGCAAACGAAATAGAAATTAGCTGAGTCACAGCGCGGGACTCCGAAACGAAAACCGGTGAGTATGTAAATATTAATTGTTCGTACCTGCTGTACAACGTAACAATTGCTCAAATTCATAACGTAATTTCAAACTAGCACTCGTAGAATTGTAGTGCGAAAGTGCCACTCGATTATAGTAACAACGACAAAGAGATACTCTTCTAAACAATGGGGATTACTGTTCCCAGCTTCCAGGCACTAGGAAACTCACCTAAGGTGAGGCTAGCGTTAAACAGGTTGGTAACAGAGGACGTTATACATGGTGCGATCTCTCGGAGGATCCTGTTCGAGATGTTCCCGCCTGTTGCCTTATGCTGCGGGAGCCTTCGGAGCACCCGGTACACTGAGGATTCGGCCAAGACTGGCAGAGAGAATAATTCATTCGGACAGTCGTCGGCTGGTGCTGGTATTGGACCTGTACCGTGAGCAGGAGTGCACTGGCGCTCAAATACCTTCGCGAGCATTTCTGCTTTCTCTGGTTCGCTCTGTGCCGTGTAGCCCTCACACGTTAGGTCAGGAACTTTATCTTTCTTACAGGAGATGTTGGCAAGTGTCTTGGCTTTCTTCCACCAAAGGTGGGCATCTTGCTCATCGTGAATATTCTCACTGAGGCGCTTGAAGTACAGGGTCTTGGCATTTCTTAACTGGTTCTGATATGCATTCCTCTGGGCCTTGTAGGTTAACCAGTATGCTACTGTTTGGTGGCGCTTGGCGGCACGGAAAAGGCGCTGCTTCTGGCGATGAAGGTGATGCAGATGCGGGGTGAACCAAGGCTTGGTTTGCTGTCTTCGAGATGAAACTCGTCTGTACGCTAAGCAGCTGGCAATGGCTTGTGTGATGCATGACTCCCATGCCCACCACGCACTCTCGATGGTGGAAGCACCGAGCATACACTCCCGCAGTGGAAGAGATGAAAGTTTCTGTCGTAGAGATTGAAAGTCAGTGTTCGCGTAGTCTGGTACAAAGCGGGGCGGCGGGTGCTTTGGGGTGTGCTTTCCTGAGAGATACTTAAAGATTATGGGACAGTGGTCTGATAGCGGATCTAGGACTTCAAGGTCGGATATACGATGCTCTGCGTCTGTGATAACCAGGTCGAGAAGTGATGACTGGCTACCCGTAGCTGAGTATCGCGTTGCGGTGTTTCGGACAATTTGCTGTAGTGCAAGGTCGTCTAACAATCCTGCTAGCTGTTTGCCCTCTGCCGTATCAACATCTGTTGCGTTCCACTGTCGGAGTTTGGCATTGAAATCACCGAGAATGACTGTCGTGCCTGAGGCTGACAGTGCGTTGGCAATGGTGGACTGGAAGGACACAAAAAAGTCGTGTTTTTCTGCTGATGATCGGTGAGGGGGCCTGTAAAACATGTGGAATGTATTCTTTCGACTGTTCTGCGATTCTATAAATTCCACGCAAATGTGCTCCAGTTTGCATTCAAGGTCGGTCCGCCGTTGGAAATGGCACATAAGCGATTGTCGAATATAAACAGCAAGTCCTCCGCCTATCGCGGAGTGTCGGGCACCGTCTCTATCTTTACGCAGGAGGCTGTATCCGGGAATTGAGATGGCTGCATCCGGCAGTGATTGGTAGAACCACGTCTCACAGAGGAATAGGAGGTCAAGGGACGCAGTGTGTAGTAGCGACTCAATGACTGGGATCTTATGAGTGGCGCTTTGGCAGTTGAGTTGGCCTATCCTAAGGTGGAATGAATGTGTTATGGGCGTGTAGGGTGGATGGCTAGATGTCACATCAGCAAGAAGGGCAGGGAGGGGTTCTGCATCGTGAGTAGGACATATACTGGTAGGCCTGGTTAGATTTGACTTAGAGGGGAAAAAGCTGGGTGCTAGGGGATTAAGAGACGCCATTTGTAAGAGTGTCGGCAGAATCAGCACAGTAGTAGAATACAGATTGATATGCGCAAAAATGTTCCTGACCACTATTACTAGGATGCTTACTTACTCAAGTGCCGTCGATGACTTGCGGCTACTCGTTTGGCAACATCGGCCATCTCTTTCGCGCTGGCCTGCTTTGCCCATTGCTGTTGTATGTCGACATTGAATGCTGGCTGCTGCTCGGGGGTCAGCTGGGTGGGGGTCAGGACATGGGGTGCGAAGGTGTGCTTTCCCGATGCTAGGGTAAAACCTTCTTCATCTGGAGATGAGTGGGCGGCTTTACCTCGGGATGGTGGTGGCAGCGATGGAGCAACAGGTGTAGAGGCCTGCTGCTGTTGCTGCTGCAGCCCTTGGGGAGGATTGGCTGAGTCCACAGATGATTGTTGTTCATCTTGCACGGACCGGCTTTCCTGGGGCAGAGACTCATCGCCAGTCGCTTGTTCCGCGCTGTTGGGGTCAGGGTGCCTGTGATGCCGCTCATCAACAGCGGAGGCATATGTACGGTTTGTCTCTTCATTCTGCTCTGTGCTGGAGGTATCGTTTTCCTGCTGTGAGGTTTCTGAGATCCCGTCGAGGTGGTGCTTTCCCTTGTGTTCGGTCGGGTGTATTTCTCCCCGGCCTGGGGTTGATGCGTCTTTTTCCTGTTGTCCGCCTTCAGCACTTTCATTTGTGTTCGCTACGGTATTTCCATGCCGTTCTTGCGTATTGCTCTGACCTTGTGTGACCTGTGAGTACAGTGCTTTCTCTCCTGCATGCGTGTTTGGGGTTGCCTGGGTCTGGCTGCTTTGACCCTCGGCCCCTGCGTACGCCTGGTTGCTATTCTTGCGTGTTGGACAGTACCTTGCCTCGTGGCCAGTCTGTGTACAGAGGTAGCATGTCTGTACTTGGCCAGGGTACCATGTACGTACAGTGACACTACCTACTCTCAGCGTACTCGGTACTCCTTTCTGCAAGCTGATTCGAATCTGCCTGGTTCCTGTTTCGATGGCATAATCTCCATGCTTGACTGTTTTCCTCGTCGGCTGACCGAAAACTTTCCCATGTGCCTCCAAAGAATTGATTAACGCTCCATCGTGTAAATGCAAGGGACAGCCGAACAAGGACACCACAGTGACTTGGCTGCCTCCAACAATAACATGCACATCCTTACCGGCGATCCGGACTCCACTTGCCGCGATCCTATCTCTCACAGCTGGGCAGGACAACGTTACTACACACCAACCTGGCTTTCCGTGTAAGTCCACTAGAAGCAACTCCTCTGGCTTCACTCCATTCTTGGATAGCTCCTCAATGAAGAAAACGTGGTCCTTGGGCCACTCTGGATCCTTGGGGAAGAGAACAGATGCTACTGAGCCAGGAGCTACAAATTTGCTCCCGCCCGCCATCGTACCACATCTCATTCACGACGAACAGTGCCAAACAACTGCAAAGACAACACATTCTCCTTCTGAACACAAAGCTCAGGGTCTAACTTACGTATGTACAAAGCTTCCAACACGGCAAGATGTAACAAAGACCTACCACGCGACAAAACAGAGAATACATCATCGGAATACCACTCACGACAACTAGCACTGCCCGACAGGTGACACTTGATTGCCGGGGTACCGTTTCCGTGACCCGACGACTTGGCCGTTGTCACCTCTGATATTGCCGCTTGCGAATCTCTCCCATTACGCCCTGCGTCCCTGCAATTCCGATTGCCTCGGTCGAGATCAGTGTGCTGCTCCACGTCCAGTCTGTCCTGCTTCCGTGGTCTACCTCGTTTCTTCACATTAACCGTTGTTGTCACTTCCAGTATTGATTATTTTGATTCGTCATCAATTCGTCTCCTCAATTGACTTCTGGTGACTCGTCCGGGGCTCGATTGTCCAGATGTCAGTTTCGGTGGTTTCCGTATAGGTCTCTTCTTCTTGTTGACTGTTGTTTGGGTTGGCTCCAGCCCTCCGCCCGACGAAAAGGAGGAGGCGTCGGCAAGCGTATCCACAGCGGACTTGGACAAGTACACCTCAGACACAGACTGCACTGGACACTTCGGTGGACGACCACGCGGAGGTCGAGAACCACGTGCGGCTACAGGGGCAAGACTCAACGGTGCATGTTGACGAATCCGTGCGCCCAGGTGCTGAAAGGTTCTACCTACGTACCGATTTTCACAATTTCGGCACTGAAAGAAATATATTAAATTAATTTTGCTTAGGGTAGGTAGAACGTCCTTCTTCACGCTGAACGCACGGGTCGTCCCAAAGATGACATACAATTTGACACACGGATAAGAGGAACAAACAATATTCCGCACCTCCTTCTCGACGCGCGAAGAACCGGCACCAACCCATGGCAAACGTAGTACCACAGGGCATCTCTCTGGTCCAAAAGTAATCGTCTTTTCCAAGGTCGGTTTCTGGTTGATGAGTTTCATTAAAAGTGTCTTTGGATAGCCATTCTTTGTCATTATGGTTAAGAGTCGTTCTAGTTCCTCGTCCAGCAGATGAGGGGAACATATCCTATGTGCACGGTAGACAAGGGCCTTGACGAGGTGTGTTGAGAGTAAAACTTGAACATGGGATATACAAGCCTGTGAAAGTGGGCTTTCTATAAATGGTCGTGTCCATGTTGTGCGTATCCATGTTACGAGAAATACTAACATCCAGGAAAGAAAGGGTACCATTGTTTTCACCATCTGATGTGAATTTTAATGCTGGATGTAAGGAGTTGAGAGTTTCCATAAACCTATCACAGGTTTCCTTGTCGTCGTCGTGACAATACACATCGTCAACAAAACGACAGTACATTGATGGCCAAAGTGAAGGGTCAATAGACGACTCGCAGAAGCCAACAAATATGTTCGCCAAGACTGGTCCCAAAGGCGATCCCATGGCGACTCCATCATTCTGTTTTTACATTATATTGTCGAATGAAAACTCCACACCAGACGTGACCATGAACATAAGTTTCACGAACTCTGTTTCATTCAAATCTGGGGAGTGATAGATTTTTGTTTGTTTCTTTTATTTGAATTCGTTTAGAGCACAGGCAATTCTGCCTTCTCACCAGAGGAAAAACCTCCGGTTTCTGCTAAGAACGAATATAATATTATGAGAGAAGGAAATATTAAAAAGAATCATAACATGATAATTCCAAAGCACAAAGTTTGTATATAATTCAAATGGGTGTGTGTATGTGTAAGCATGCAGTGAAGAAAACACCGAGAAAACATGCAGTAATGTGTAGGGATGCCGAGCAAGGTGGTTACAAATTAATTCGGTTCAGAGCCAGTTTAAAGGCAACCGCCGCACTGTGGAGGCGAATATCGCTGGGAAGGGCATTCCAAAGAGTGCTTCCCACAAATGTCAATGACTGACGACCGGAAGGTCCAGGAAGGAAAGGCACTTGCAGTAGCCGCTGCTCCTGTCCTCGAGTAATTCGGCGATCATCCCGGGATGCTTGGCCTGTGTTAGCCATCAACTGAAAGTAGGTGCAGAAAAGAGGACTTGCAAGATCATGTAGGCAACGGAAAACAAAAAACAAAACCTTGTAGTTAAAAATGTGAGTTAGGGATCGAATAGATAAGCGCACGAGGAGGGGGGCTGTGGATGCACGGCTGGAGAGTCGGAAAATTGCACGAATTCCGGATTTGCTGGATTTGATTAAACGACTCTGCAGCTGCTGTGTCAGCGACGGGAAGAATGCATTGGATGCGTACGTTAGTCGTGCTTGCACAATGCCAATGTACCAAAGTCTGCGGGCTCTTATGGGCAGAGATCGCCCATGGCGCCATAGCTGGCTGATGGCGACTGACGCCTTCTGCAAAACACTGGAGACATGTGGCTAGATCTGTTATGGTATAACGCCATGGCGCAAATGTCTATTGTTTCTCGTAAAGTAACGTTGGTAAACAAGCTCACTACGTCATAGGAGCACATGTAACCATTTGATTCAAATTTCGAATCTCTAAGTTTTTCCACAAACTCAAACGTGTCTTTAACGTAATGTGTGTTGTACAAGGCAAGAACCGGTTCCAGCAAATTGCATAACCATTTCGAAATCTATATTTCTGAATTTCTTTTCCTTATAGTTGTAGTCTTTTAGCTTTTTTCCATCATTCCCTGTATTATTATTATTATTATTATTACGAAGTAGTGGTTACGACTTCGGCGATGATTTGTAAGAAAGGTTGGCTCCCCACACCGGAGCTCGCGCTATTCCGCCGACTTTACTTGACACTTGACTGACTCACGACTGCCATCCAGAGCACACGAGAAGTCCATCGAACCTTCGACTCGGCAAACCTGCAAGAAAGCACCACTCCCTGCTCAATACACAGTGTTTCGGGGAATTCACCCCTCATCAGTTGAGCTTGAGTAGGCTGAGGAAGATTGTGCCTGAAGAGCACCACTTATATAGTGATCTCCAGGCACAAACATCACCAGGGATACAAACGTACAGAGACGCTCCGCTTCCAGCGCGACAAACAC